ATCGGAATAACGATCCATCGATCGGTTATTGAAATAGTAAAAATAGGATTTGGATTGATTATTCAAGGTTAGATAGCAAATTATGGATTGAGATTGAATATAGAAAGTGGCCGTAAGTCGACCTCTTCCCCTCGATCTTTCCCTCCAAAATAGTCTTAAAGAAGTTGTCGTGTCGTATCAAATGTCCATTCATTTTCCCGCGTCTATACTCTACAGTATTCAGGATCGTTCTTTTCTCGTTTACCATTCTCAATACTTAGATAGATACTTACTAATATAAATTAAAATTAACTACTAACTGCCATCCTTCCTGCTTTCTCTGTAACACTCTTCCAATCGGTCTGTAATATTATCCATGGTGGTATGTCATGTCATCGTTAAATCTTCTATTATTTAATTTTAATAATTTTTTCATTTTCTGTTCATAGTAATAGATTTTTTGGAGAACGTTAATAAGAGTTAAATCATTCATATTTCATCTATTGCCCGTAGATGCCAAAGAATAATTTATTAATAATTAAATCTTGTGTTTTGCAGTAATTGACGTAGACGCTCACGCAGAAGCGCAAGCGGCGGCGGAAGCGGAGCGACAAGCGGAAACCGAACGACGAGTGGCCCAGGAACGAGAGAGGCAAGAGAAGGAACGACAGGAGAAGGAAAGGCAGGAGAAGGAGAAAGCCGAAAAGGAAAAGGCGGAGAAGGAAAAGGCCGCCAAGCAGGATAGGAGTAGACCGATCTCGAGTACGCCCATTTCGGGTACTCCATGGTGAGTGTCAACTTGGATATGTGTATATGAATAATTATATGATCAAAAGTGACGTTTTAGCATCTTAAGGGCGCGATTCCATTATGTGCCAATGTATTATTTATCGTTGGAAGACTCGCGTCTAACCTGTTCCCATATTACCACTATCTGTCGTGAATGTCATGGACTTTTTCTTATTTTTAACGCACACACACTAATAGCCCCGCGTTAGGGGAACCCTGTATCGCCGGTGCCATGGACACGCATAGACAACCCCAAATTACACTCAAACTCACGAGAGAAATAAATGTAAACCATACAAATATTTCTCCCGGGAATAGAACCCGGGACCTCTGCGTGGCAGTCCAGCATGGTAACCGTTCGGCCACAGAGGCAACGTTGAACGACAGTCATGCCTAGCTGTTTCCACTGGACCGTGACGACAATTTATATCTTACATATTACACGACAAATAAAACGTGACGGCAATAGTAGCTGCGATCATCTGTCGTCACATTTGTATCGTGACGTGGTTTTATCGTCTGAAGACCGTCGTTCTAGCTCTTCTCGTCTTTAGTCTGTCGTCGTAACGTCATAAAAGTTATAAAGGACAGTTAATCGTGTTGTACTATATGCGAACAACTTCATTTAAATATACAAGCCACGACACATTAAACTGCACAACTATCTGTTGTCACGATGTTAACGACGATATTTTGAATTTGAATACTATACTGTAACCAAGTTAAATGTTCGTATATTTCGAGAGAAAATGTAAGTGGAAGCGGTGTTGTGAATGGGAATGGCGTCGGCAGGTGCGTGGTCTGGACGGGCGACGGGCGCGTGTTCTTCTACAACCCCACGGCGCACTCGTCGGTGTGGGAGCGGCCGGCGCAGCTCATGGGCCGCGCCGACGTCGAGAAGGCCGTCAGCCAGCCGCCCGACGCGCTGCTGCAGCTGCAGGTGAGTTTTCACCAGTCTTTCGGACGCCATCGTCGCTGTACTTCACAACCAGTTGTATCTCTTCACATGCAACTGTTTCGCAACCAGTGGCGTCAAAAGGCTTTTTTATTAATTAACCGACTTCAAAAAAGGAGGAGGTTCGTGTTTTTTTTGTATGTATGTTACGCGATAACTCCGGTACATGTGAACCGATTTAAATGATTCTTTTTTTATCGGAAAGGGGGCACTACCATAGTGGTCCCATTTCATTTTAAAAGAAAACATCCACCTCTACGGGTGGCTGTTCACGCATGAAGATTCGTTTTTATAAATAGCGCCTAAATTTTCTTAAGGAGCAATTATTTTAATGATTGCTTTTGCTATTTCTCCAATTCAAGGCGTTTTTCTCTCAATATTCTTTGAGTAGTGAGAACCGATTTTTATTATCTCCAGTGTTAAGTCCTGTATAGTGGCGAATTTAACGATATTATAATAAAACTTAGCAAATATATGTAATTCCACATACTTTTGAGGTCGGTTTTTTTAGTACTCTGTACTGAGATTATTCTGTTTGCAAACACTCGTAGCCCTGGTAGCCTAATGGTTTGACCTACTGCCTCTTAAGCAGAAGGACGAAGGTTCGAATCCGGGCTCGCACCTCTGAGTTTCTCGGAATTTATGTGCGAAATTTTATTTGAAGTTTATCATGAGCTTTTCGGTGAAGGAAAACATCGTGATAAAACCTGCACGTTGAAGAAGGTTCACAACCCTCTGAAAACGTGTGAAGCCCCAACCCGCATTGGGCCAGCGTGGCGAACTATGGCCTAAACCCTCGTCTGAAAGAAGACCCGTGCCCAGCAGTGGGACATATAAATGGGTGTAGCTGCAAGTCATCCACGCATCCGCCGCGCTCAACGCGTCGGCGTGCACTGAACGGCGAGCGCGCGGCGGGTCCTATTTATGCCTTCGCGCGCACCCGCGCCGTAACATCTCTATGTACTACTTACTCAATTAGACTTGTACTATTTCTAAGATATACAAAAGTATATAAGTAGTAACATTCGTTGATTAAATGTCGAGCTACACCAAGCCACACCAAGCCACACCAAGCTAGCAAGCCACAGCAATAGCCTTCGACTCCTGAACAACCAGCGTTTTATTTGCCTACCAGCATCTACACAACAGGCTCCTAAATGGGTTAATGATGATTATGATGAAAAACTCGTATGTTATCAATTTACATATAAATTATTTCAAGAGATAACTACGCTTTTAATGTATTTTGCTTCATATTTGGATGCTGATAAGCAATAATGTGTCAACCAACATGATCATAGCTTTGCGAAAACGGCACCTAAAGGTTATTTCGTTGCTTTTGATAGTTTGTTCTAAAGTTTACTTATAAAATGAAAACTTTTGCTGTTGTCACCTTAGGAATTATGAATTGTTGTGGTTTATTACTATAATTTCTCAACAACGACAAGCACATCAGCAAAAGTTTTCATTTCTTAGGTAAATTTTAGAATGAACTATCAAAAACAACGAAAATAATCTTTAAGTGCCGTTTTCGCAAAACTATATTCATGGTGACTGACACTTTATTGCTTATCAGCATCCATTTAAAACCAAATGATGCTGCATTCAAAGTCTTGAAAAGTTGCGCGTCTATTTATAAAAAGATCTTGTATTTTTATCATGACGGTCGAAAGGGTCAACTGTAAGGAATATTTCCTTATAAGTAATATTCTACCTTATTTCCCGCTGAGCCATGTACAGTGCTTTTCTTAAACAATGTGAGGAAATAGTAAAAGACTAAAGATGCATAATAGAAACACTAAATAAGTATTAATTAAAATTAAAAGTAATATTAGACATGTTAGGACACTATTGCTTCTATAAGCGTCTCATTTAAAGGCTTATAAATTCACTCTATCGATCGCCACCATAAAAATACTGATGTTTTTGTTTCACATTTGGTCGACTCGATTCCCAGATGAGGCAAGCCGGTTTTTATATTTGAATGCGGTATTATTTACTTTCCACGAAGCATATCCACATCTTATATTATAGGCATATTAACAACTTTCCCTTCGAGTTCCATAGCCGTGAGACGCCATGTATACCCTTATCATTCGAGCGTTTCGTCCGTCCAAATACCTTGTACTCTCTCCCGCAGCGCAAGGAGGCCGCAGCTTCGGCGGCGGCGCTGGGCAAGACGGCCAACGGCGAGCTGAAGCGCCCCAACGACTCGTCCAGCGACGACTCTGAACCCGAGCCCGCCAAGAAGGCCAAGCAGGATGACAGTCAGTTGCCCGCTCTTTCTAGCGCCCTGGGTACCACCATTTACAAAACAAACTTCCACACTAAATTGCCTTTTTATACAGGGTTATTTTTAAAATACTAACCTCGCAAGACTATAAATCTAATATCAAAAGTGGACCCTACCTACAGTGGGCGTTTTAGTCCTACAAGTCTTTTAAGCTTCGTCGACTCGAATTAGTCTTCAGGTTTAGTCTTATGACTTAAGACTTGAGGGTTAAAATACTAGACTAGTGAGGCGTACGAAGATCTTTGTGGTATAATGGTCATGTGTAAGGTTGAGGTTATGATGATTTGTGTATAGTGTATACCCTAAATTAATAATATCAAGGCAGTACCTGTTTTGTTCGGAAATCTGATGACGAGATTTTATTATATTTGAGAGCACGTCTACCGAGAGTCTGATAAAATAAACATATCAAATATGTCGACATGACCTTGCTTATATTGCCATCGCTGATATTCTGCTACATTAGTGGCTACCACACCCGCACCGCGAACGAAGTATTTTTTTTAAATTGCACAATTCTCTCCGCAGACAAAAAACCGCCAGCAACTAAAATCGACGCAGGCAAAGAGGCAGCCATCGAGGCGGAGGTACGAGCAGCGAGGGAGAGGGCCGTCGTGCCTCTAGAACAGAGGATGAGGGCATTCCGCGCCATGCTGGAGGACAACAACGTGTCGGCGTTCAACACCTGGGAGAAAGAGCTGCACAAAATTGTCTTCGATCCGAGATACTTGCTGCTTACCTCTAAGGAACGCAAGCAGGTTAGTTAAGTTGTAGTAGCATTAGCAGCAGCAGAGCTAACATCAAGTGACGGGACGAACAAGTCGTGCGCCTGATGGTAAACTACACGCCTGTCTATAACAGTTACAGTGCCACTCAGAACTTTAAAAGAGCAAAGATCTGAGGGGCATTACCACTGCGCCCGTCACCCTGAGAAATGAGTTGACAAGTCCCATGTGCCTGCAATTTCACCAGCACCCTCACCCTTCAAAACCGGAACACAGTAATGCTGACATTACTGCTTGATGGCAGAAATAGGTAAGGTGGCAGTACTACCCTGGACTACTGCTACTAAAACACTCACATTACTGCGTTCCGATTTTAATAACGTGCACACACTCATAACCCCGCACTAGGGGAACCCTGTATCGCGGGTGCCATGAACAGACAACCACAAATTACACCCTAAGTAGGCCATACAACTATTTGTGTCGGCCTGGGAATCGGACCCGGGACCTCTGCGTGGCAGTCCGGCATGGTAACCGTTCGGCCACAGAGGCAGTTAGTTAGTTTTGAAGGGTTAAAGGTGCTGGTGAAATAACAGGCACACGGGACTCGTCAACTTATGTCTCAGGGTGACGGGTGCAGTGGCGGTGCCCCTCAGATCTTTGTGATTTAAAACTCTGAGTGACACTGCAACGGTTTTGGATAGACGTGTCGCTTACCACTAGACTTGTTCGTCCCGTCACTTGAGAAATAACTCAAGAGTATTATTAGAGTGGTTACACACGGCGACAATATATACAATCGCGCGTTTGTATCGATGCAGTCGCGCGGTTACAACGCGTTTGCATCACATCTTAAAATCGCGCGCGTGTGTAAAGGTAGACGACTAGCGACTGCAGCGCTCCTGTATCGCGTTTGCATCGCTGATAAAAGTGTGTAACCGCTCTTATATTTGAAGACTTCCACGATTGATTTATTGTATCAAACGATTAATGCTAGTTACACCGCCCTCCTTGTCGTAAATAACGCATTTGCATTTAGGTAATTTTCCAGGCAATAACGAGCACCTAAAGTATCATTTATCTTTGAAAAATATCTATTTCACAGATTTTGCGTTATAACTAAAACTATATAAGGTATAAAAAACCTCTTACAGAGGGTTGTAATTCCGTTTGGCTGATCCCAGACATATTACAGGCCTTTTTTTTAAATTTTTTTTTGACGGGGGGAAATCTTTATGGATACCCCTGAGCCCAGGGAGACTCAGGGGTTATGTGGGGACTCTCCCTCTAACTGGAGGGCCTACCCCACTAAAACCCCCCCGGGTTTCCCTCTCGCCGGTTGAGTCGGAGCCGTGGGATCAGTGAACATTCACCACGACGCCGCCCGGCCGCCCTAGCTTGCGCCAGGGCTCCTGCGCCAATAGAGGGACGAGTCGGTTGTCCTCCGACCCGCCCCCCAGACGAGTGAGGCCGTGCAACGCAGGCTCCGGAGTCCCTGTCCAGAGCCCGCTGGTCTCACTAGGGGATCAGGCGAGCAGCGAACTGCCTTCGCCTTCTCCCCGTACGTCTGCGCCGGAGCGGGTGCGCGTCCGCCGCGTCCTCGCGCACCCGCTCCGCGGCCTCCTTTTGCGACATAACCTCTGCGCAAAAGGAGGCCACCGCCTCCCACGACTCTTCGCTATCGAGCATGGCGGCAACCACGCTCGGCAGCGAGAGGTCCTGCCCTACAGTCCCCGTCATCCGCAGCGCCGCACTCGTGGCAGACATGTTACAGGCCTACCTCTTACCTGAGTTGGTTACGTCGTAACGTCGTAGTAACAGTTACGTCGGGATAATTTCAACAAGATTTTTCTGACGATATTCAGTAACAAGTAGTTCCTACTAAATTAATCATTGTCATGTGAAACGATAATTAAAAAAAACTTATTTTTTTGATAATTGAAATGATTAGACCAAGCCATTTGGCACTTTTTTCAATTTTCTTGTTATTGAATATCTTCAGAAAAATCTTATTGAAATTAACCCGTGTGCAGCTTGTCATAGTTGTTACGTAAACTGTCAGGTACCGACTCAGCGGTAGGCCTGTAATTACTCAATTACTGATTACTGTGTATAATGACCGGGTCCAACTTATGGTAGGTGTTCGACAAGTACGTCCGCGAGCGCGCCGAGGAGGAACGCAAGGAGAAGAAGAATCGCCTGCAGCAGAAGAAGGCCGCCTTCCGCGCTCTCATGGACGAGGCCAAGCTGCACTCCAAGTAACGGCACTTTCATACCATACAGTAACACTTGAATACAGGGTAACTCGAGTTGTAGCCGTCGTGTCAATTGGTTATTTTACGTGTTAAGAACACTGTTTGAAAGATAAGTAGTATCACAGAGTAATAAATACAATAGAAGTGCTTAGTGAAAATTCCTTGCGAAAAGCCTTGAGTGCACTTAGACTCAGGCTGCCATTTTCGCTGGTTATGTCAATTGTCTCGCGCAAACTTATAAATCTTATTTTGCTACTTTAGAGTGCAAAAAATATAGTATTATCCATTGTGGTGTTTCATAGTTAAGTCTAATTTAATTTTAAAATAAATTTTAAATTTTCTGTTAATCGTAATAATATTTTTGCTATAGGAAATGAAAGTAAACCTTATACGGCTGCAGTATAGTCGATTCTTTTGTCCCTCGGCAACCTTCGTGTTCGGCTGTCGTTGGGTTTTATTCAGTTGCCCTTTGTCTTTGATACAGACCGAAAGCTTTCAGTCGACTTGGAAATATAGTTGCTATTACATTTTTTATTTGTTATACAATGGGAGGATAGCCACGTAAGTCACAGGCACGACATATAATTTAAAGCCGATACGTTCAAGAAAGACAACAATGATTATTTTCAAAAAGTCCAAAAACATGTTTTTGTGGCTTGTGGTGTTTTTTTTTAATCAGAACAGTAAAGAATATTTTAAAGAATATGATAAAAAAGATAAATCAATTTTCAGTCACCTAAAAAAGTACGAAAGAATAATACATAACTGTTAATTATATGTATTGTTCATTAATAACCGGAAAAATATTCATTTTTAATTATATAAATGAAGTACACTTTATTCACTTTATATTTTTATTAACTGGCTTATTGACATGGAGTAAATGTTATTAAAAATAGGAAAATAGTTTTACAGCTCTACGTAGTTCACACGAAAATCAAAACAAAACAATGTACAAACGAAATAAACTACGTTGTTCAAAATTGAAATTATTATAGATTTTAAATCTAACAATAAATGGGCATGGAAATTAATATTCATATGCCTTCTGAAATTCGATGATTGCCGAGCATTGACTTACAATTATATGGACGTCGGGTCCGCGCTAAAAAGTGTCCGAACTTATAGGGCGTTAAAATCGTATACAGAGCGTCATTCACGCTTTAGTCTTCGTTTGTTCGACTGACAACGAAGCAAGCAAAATTAGACAGTACTGCGATGACATTACAATTTAAATTCAACGTTTTAGCTTTTTCATATTCCTTTACATGTCACTACGTTTAAATAGGTTGACTTGGGACATTTTTTTCGTGGTTTTTGTATTAGACCCGTCGTCCATTTATTTGTAAGTCAATGTTGCCGAGGGACATTTAAAAAAATAGAAGCACTGTACAAATGTTTATTTGCAAAGAGCAAGAGTTTCTTACTTATTCTTCTCAAGGCAATCTGGCTTACTTATTAGCAGACTTGGGGCCCTGTACACGGCAATGGGACGTGTATTGAGTTAACGACAATGATATTTTGTCTTAGATCATCGTATACCGAGTTCTCGTCGAAGCACGGCCGCGACGACCGCTTCAAGGCCATCGAGAAGCCACGCGACCGCGAGACCTACTTCAACGAGTTCATCGCCGAAGTGCGCAAGCGCGAGAAGGAGGAGAAGGAGAAGAAACGCGAACAGGTGAGTCACGAGGAAGGTCCGGAAATGACACTGACATTCAAAGAGGTTGGCTTCAAATTATTTCGTTACAGCGACACGTTTGAAATGTACTGCGGTGAAATGTTACGGATGCTGAAAGTTTTAAGTGATTTTCTTTAATTGAAATGATTGCTAATGAAATTTTAAAATTTTTGCTTAATTAATTGAGATCGTGGTCACGGAAATTTTCATATAAAACAACGACCACTTCAATCAATCAAACTATTTATTTGTCGGAATGAGGTACAGTAGGTTAATACTTCAAATAAATCCAGCTTATTTAGTTTTAGTTGACATGCAAATATGTACATTATTGAAATATTAGCAATGTTTTTTAATCACAAAGAATGAGAGAAAAACAAAGAAGTTTGAAATGTTCAGTTGTGAAATGTTCTTTTTTCAAACATTAGGACAAAAACAAAGCGTTATGAAATTTTGAAAACATTCCTGAAATAATTATTTATTTGATCACTGCTGAGCTATTTGAAGACGAAAGAAAATAATGCGTATATTTGTGAAAGGATAACATTACTAATCTTGCTCGCGTAGTCGGGTAACAGCACTACAGGAGAGTGCCTGGCTGTTTACGGGTTCGATTCCCGGCACAAGGAAAGAGCTTAGGAATTTTGCTAGAAAGATATGTGAAGAAGAAAGATAAGTAAAAAAAATTGTTATTTTCTCTATGTAGGATCTGTAGTATCGTGCTGCAAGGCCAAGGCGTTCCGCCTTTATATATTTTTTTATATATTTAATAATAATTAATAATTTTTTATATTTTTATATATTTAAATCTTAAATAAAAGTTTTAAAATTAAAAGTTAATTTTCGAATTGCCCAAAAATAGCTAGCAGTGAATTGCTTTCCCTGTCTTTTTTGAAAAATATCTGGAAATCGAACCCGACCATAATTTTCCTAATAATTTTTATATTGGCATTAATTTTGTATTAAAAATGTCATATATCAAGACAATAGGTGGAGATACGTGTTCTTTGTCTACCAAACCCGAGGTACAGGCGTCATATGTATGTATGTTAAGCAATAGCTTATTATTTAAATGTTTAATATTTCATCTGGGTTCGAATCCCGGAAGCTGGCGTTATTATGCTTGGCGATAGTATGTTTTTTTCTATTTAATTGGAAGAGAATTTATTTTTTGACACATTTGCACGATTATAAGAGCTGATATATCTTTTTTAAACCGAAGTTTCTGATACTGTCTTTTTAACTAGAGAAATTTTAACGGTAACTTAACAGGAGACAGAATCATTGACTTATGTTGTAACGTTATTTCTTTCCCATCGATGTTTATGTGAAATCTTTTCTTTTTTCATTTATATCTAAACAACGAATATGTTTCATGGATATGCCTTTAAAAAAAAATTTACAAAACAAAATTCGTTTTCCCATTTCAACATTACTATTGCAAACGATACTCGATCCTAAAGCTGTTTAAGTGATTAACTAATAAAAAAAAAGAAAGAAAAAGGTTTGTGGATATAGTTAGAAATAAAGGCATCTCCAAGAGAACACGTTTGTGTGAAGTTGAGCGATAGAGAGAGAAGTAAACAGAATGGCGGCTATTTTAGCGGCGGCTGGCGCGCATGGCGGCGGGCGGAGCGGCACTGCAAGGGATTGGCCAATTGACGATGTCGTGACATTATCCCCAGGCCCTTTGCCCTAGGTGAGGGACATACATTTCTACACGCGATAGACCGAACTACAAAGAAATTTAAGAATCGCGTTAAAAGGACTTGGCACGGCATAAAAGTTGCCTAGGGTGCGTCGGAGCACAGATAGGGCGTCGTTGCGAGAAGGCTCCTTTCGAGTATTTTAATTTTAACTCTACAATACATTCGTAAGACGTAGGCATAGTATACTAAAAATGATAACTCCATACAAACCTTACAGCGCGGCTTGTATTTACGTACGCATAACATTCGCATAATAATACTTACTTACTCCGCTGGCACTGCGACCCAAAATGAGTCCCAGCATCCGAAACGAGATGATGCCATTTTCTTCGGTCCTGTTCAATCTCTCGCCAATTGATGGTTTGTAGTTCACGCTGGTCCGCCTCCACAGCGTCGCTCCAGCGATATCTGGGACGACCAACCGGCCTTCGTCCAGTAACTCGACTCGGCTCTCTTCACGCTCCGATCCTCTACCATCCTTTCTAAATGGCCGAGTCAGCGAAGTAAGTGTGCCGTGGTTTCGCCGATGATGCTTGGCATAATAATTAATAACGCACGCACTAGGGAAACCCTTTGCCGCGGATGCCATGCATACACGCATAGACAACCACAAATTACACCCAACTAACGAGAGAAATATATGTAGGTCATACAAATATTTCACCCGGCCTTGGAATCGAATCCAAGACCTCTGCGTGGCAGTCCGGCATGATAAATGTTATACTATGGCATAGGTCAGATTCGTCTAAAAGTAAAAAAACTTGGGAATTGTTCTTAGTACGGTATTTAATCACGGCTACAAAAAATTACCTTCTTTCCGAAAACTAGAGAAAATTGTTGAAAAAAAACTATGATAATTACTTTAAACTTTTAAGTGGTAACATTTGCAACAAGCGTAGAAAACTGCTTTAAAATCACGGTAACATTTAAAATTTGACAGATAATTAGTAGAAATTGTTCTTAAATGGCAACACTGGCACGAGTTTGACAGATAATCTGTAAAAAATAGTGGTTTAAATGGCAATATTGAGCCGGGAAGGCTGAATGTCAGTTTCACCAGGGTGTTTGACGCAACACGACGTATTTGTAACCAGCTTTAGACACGATTTTGAAGTTGGTTCAGGGGTTTACGATTGTAAATCATAGATACTGTTGATTTTAGGCGCGCTTCTGTTTAATAGACCAACTTAATGAAATTTCTTGTTTCTTTCTTTCTCTTTAAAATGATTTATATTGAAGAGTACCAAAACATTGCTATTGAAATAAAAAATAAAGGTTGTCAGAATTGGCGGCTCTTTTTTGTTAAACTCTCAGTGTTATTTTCGAACGCATTTTTTTAATTTTAACTTTTTTTTTAACTGAAAAAAATCGTCAATTGGTCATCCCGTTCGTCAAAGAAGTAACTAAGGTTAGATATATTTTAAGCCAATCAGTAAACAGTCAAATGAGATTTAAAAAGGTTCTCTCACTTTCACGCTCATGACCTTTTAACATAAACCTTCATTCTGAATGCAGCTTGATTTTAATTGGTGGTTGCAGTTACAGGGTTTTCTTTTAACTTGTTTATTTATGCATATTCTTTATTGCACAAAAAAATGCAGAAAAGTCTCAAAAAGCCAACTCAAGGCAAATCAAAGATTGAAAATGTCAGCTCCATTAGAAAAACCAACCCTTGATGGAATCAAAAAAATTTTGGCTGAGATATCACCGCGTCACGGAGAGGCGCAATTGTTTTGTGAGACGTGCAGTCACTAAAAGCCCTTGGATATTGCCACACCTCGCATGGGACGGGGTTTGCATTCAACGGCCATATTTTCACCATCCCCCTTCGTCGTTAGTGGCATACAGGGAAATTAACTGTACCAAAACGAACCTGTGCGGATAAAGATAAATTTATTCTGTATAAAAACTTAACCTAAATAACATAATCTTATTAAACAACCTTTTATTATTAGCAGTACAGCTCCTTGTGAAAGAGTTCGTCCTGGGAAGTACTGCCTTACCTTACCTACTTCTGTCGCCAAGTAATGTGAAATTACAAGGACATGGGAGTTTTCAATTTATGTCTCAGGGTGTTGGGCGCAGAGGCAGTGCACCTCAGATCTTTGCTATTTACAACTCGAAGTGGCACTGAAACTGTTATGGACAGGCGTGTCGTTTACAATCAGGCGCACGACTTGCTCGTCCAATCATTTAGTATCATAGTATATAGTCGAAACCGACTTCATGCAGCCGAGGTCTCTGCTGCATGCAGTTGATTACAAGTTCACGCATTAACTGCAAACATGCAGTCAATCTGTTAGAACATTCACCACGACGACGCCCGGCCGCCCTAGCTTGCGCCAGGGCTCCCGCGCCAACGGAGAGGCGAGTCGGTTGTCCTCCGACCCGCCCCCCAGACGAGTGAGGCCGTGCAATGCAGGCTCCGGAGTCCCTGTCTAAAGCCCGCTGGCCTCACTAGGGGATCAGGCGAGCAGCGAACTGCCTTCGCCTTCTCCCCGTACGTCTGCGCCGAAATCTAGGTGATACCTAAACCAAGTAAAATTCTTTACTTGTGTCTTAGGTATCCAAATCGGTGATCATAGCATGATTTGTCAACATGTTTTGTTCAATAACAATGAATTGTAGTAAATACTTGAATACTTAATTACATTGGCGTCTGTACAGCCTCAAATGGCTGTGGTTGATTACGCATAACAGTGAATGTGTTAAATCAATAACTTTGGAAAAAATATATAGTGAAATTGAAGATATACTCTGATTACCATTCCTAAAAATCTTCACGATAGAAAAAAAAACACAAATTTGCCTCGAAATTTTACAAGAAAACCGCCATATTCAATAAGTACTTTACATATACCAATGTTTTTTTTTATCAACTGAATTCAATGGAACACGTCAATTATGCGATATACCTTTTACAAATGCCTTTAACTTCGTTTGTAAAAAAATGAATTCTGAAATAAAGCCAGTGTCCCTGCGACTCGGCTCGAGCAAAATGAACCGAATTAGTACGGGAAAATAATTTGAATTCAAGCCGAGATACTGTCGACTCTTAACTATTCATGGTTAGGATGATCGCACTGATAGATTCCGTCCGTATATACTACATATATCTTCCACATCCTTCGGAATTTGGAGAATTTACCCTTCTCATTTTTTAAATGGAACTTGTCCGAAAAAAAACCGACCTCAAAAGTTTGCTTATCCTTTCGCTGTGTTTGTAACACCTTTTTGCCAAGCTTTATCGAGATCGGTTAACGGCAAGTGAGTGAAGTCCAATAAACCGGA